GTTAATTAACAAACGGAGACGTAACAATACTAAAAGACAGATTTTGTGTGCTTGTTTTTTTGTTTGAAGTTAAGCACAGAGCTGCACAATGGGTTATCTGTGCTCTGTCCACCACGGGTATCGAAACCCGATTTCTAGCGCTGTGTCACTGGGGAGCCCTATTTTTTAAAACTGACGTCAAAAGGAAAATTATTTTCCTCTTCTATTCAGCGAAGTAATTTTTAGAAACAAGTAGACATTACATTACAGACAAGTTGCATAACCTTTCATTGACAGTGGTAATAATGACTTGGTTTAGTTATTTTAGAGCAAAGTCACACTAGGCTATCTGCTGTGTTCACCGCGGGGAACTGAACCACGGATTTTAGTAGTGTAAGTCCTTAGGCTTACCGCTGTCCCACCGAGGGACAGGCAAGAATGCCCCCCCCCCCATCTTATGGAACAATGACACGAGGTAATCACATCCAGAAAACAAGAAAAACATAGCAGGATCATATGGCAGAAAATAATGAATTATTTCACTATAACAGATAATGTTAGCATTGAAAAATCATTAAAAAAAACAATCAACTCCGTGATCGAACGTGAAATATTAGGTTTTTTTTAGATTTATTTGTGCATATCAATTTATATTTACACTTTTGATAGATCTCCTATAATAGTAATATTGCTTAAAATATTCGAAATGTACTATGTATGTAAAAAAAAATCAATGTTTTGTCATAAAGAATGGAGTTCGTATTGCATATTGGTAAAGGCTTTCTTACTTTGTTTTCAAGAAAATCTCACCAATCATTCGACATAGTAAAAACTTTCTAGATATCATGTTCTATTATGCAAATAGAGGGAGAAACTTATACGTATCGACGTCTACGTGTCCCTGAACTGTTGATCGTGATCATGATTTTCCGCTATTTTATTTGTCAACAGTAATCCATGATGTTATATTCCACGTACATATAATATGGTGTGAGCACTGGTTGTTTTTAACAGGTTGTCCTATTAATATGTGTGCGACTCTTAGGCCTACAACTGGTTAATAACGTATTTAAATTATCATCGAGTTCGGATTAATTTTCACAGTCTATTATATATATGTAATTAAGAATAACTTAAAGTCAAATTCTTACTGTACTAAACTTATGAGTGAAAGCAAAGTAGAATATGTCAACCACACCACATCTGCCATATCCAATACCAATGAAGCCTTTCGCCCATTATCAGAGCTCATCAGGCCTGCTGGAACATGATAAACGTATTAGTGTTCAAGGCGCTATTTATAACATCAGCTTTCACAAACAATGATTACATAAGTGAATTGCAATAATTATCTATTTTATTTACGTCATTTATAAATAACATCTTTATGGTAAGGATTAATAACACAATATTATTTATGTATTTTATCATAGCGCTTCATACCTGATATAAAAAATGAGGAAGAGATGTTCCCTTATACAAACAAAGAACTAGTAATTCCTTTGCAAGCTCAGCGTTCCCTTTCGATAACCTACGTGAATATGTAAGTTCGCACTTTCTTCTGCTGCAGGAAAGAATTATTGAATCTGTGAATGTCAGAACAAACGCTCACCATTAATAAGTGATGTTTTTTGCACGCTGAAAAAGTCACATGGCACTTTCATTTGTAAGTTGTGCTCTTGAGTAACGGAGCATGGCAAGACAAAATTTAAACAAAAAGATTAATGCAGACCACCGAGTTTTAATATTAGTAACAAAATATAATAAGACATTTTAAGTCTTAATTTCTTCTTAACAAAGCTAAAAACACATCAGGGTTTTGGTTAATTCATTTTCCACTCCATAATAAAAAAGCTGTTTGTTTTCTCCCGTGGGATATTTTGAGTAATTTAAACTGCAAGTATTTTTGGATGTTGTCTACCCTTTCTCTTTTTTAAAACTACAATATTTTTTTGTTCTTTTATGTCTTCTCTATGCTTTCAATTTTTCCTCAACTAGTCTGTTTCTGCACATCTTCTATGGCCATCAGATTTACAAGGTAGTACCCACCTATGTATTACCAATATATCTATATACTACTAAAACTCTGAGATTGTTTGTTTGTTTGTCTGTAATTAAATACACCAAAAACGTCGCCATATTTATAAGGAAATGAGAATAGAAACAGAATAAAATAAGTTTCGTTAAAATCAGGCCACGGGTTACCGAGTTAGCGCCGTTTTTCCGGTCACTTTTATGAAAATTTCTAGCATGAGTAATTTTACATCACACTACCGTTCGCGCTCTTTACGAAACTTCTTCGTTCAAATCTATTTCCCTGTCAATGTT